TTTTTTTATAGTTAAAGTTTCTATCTTAAAGATGTAATATTTTATTCAAGTTTTGTTAGAAAATAAGTGCTTCCAAGGGCTCTCTTATATTGAAAATTACAACTAGCCACATGTGCACTTTTGGTGCCTAATTTAAGTAGTTTGCTTACACATTGTTATATAAGGTCTATACTAGTTGTCATACCTGCAAGCCAACTAGGGGTCTTGCCTATTTAAATCCTCTGCATATGCAATCCTTCTTGTATCATGAGAACATCTCAAGGCTACACTCATTCAAGTTCTTAATACTTATTATTACTCTTAGGACTACTTTATTCTTGATAGGAAACTTATTAGAGCCTTTATGTCCTACACATATAGACCTAGTTTTATGCAACATACTATAGTTACCTAATACTTGCAGTCACAGGAATTACCTGTTTAACCACTATATTACACTATTTCTACCCTTGTAAAGTTCACTAGAACCCTAGTACCTATCTTCTCAGTATCTTTTCCATCATTCGCTACTAGCCACAACTCAGAACCATTAGTCTTATTTCAGACTACCAATCCAGATAGCCTAGCATAATATACTTATATATTCTTTTCTTTCAGCAAATCCAGTAGCCTGGTTGGTTATATGTTCCTCTACATATATTTGATGTCTGGTTTTAATCTTTAGCTTCTATAAAGGTGTTTTGTGGGCTTTAACCAGTCTGATGGTACTGTCGAAGGTTCATGCTATCTCTTTACTTGGGGATTTCCAAGTAGGTTTCTATCACCTTAGTTTCTTAGTCTTCTACACCTGGTGGTCTTATCATGAATTTGCACTGAAGTCTTATGCAACACTAGTAAACATTTCTTTATGTACATGTAATGTTATACTTCGCATAGATGCCTGAGCTCCCAATGTTGGGAGGACCTGACTTGGTGTACCTGAGTAACAGCCACATAAGGCCAATCGATTAACAAGAGACAGTTACTGTAATGTAGATATAATTTCCAAATTTTGTCATAGGTGGGATTTGAACCTTAGACTTGTCACTTGAAGAATAACAACCCAACTACTATACTAGGATCATTATCTTTATAAAAATAAATATTTTATCTAAATTAGTTTATTATCTATATTTATTTAATATTTTTTAAATGTTAAGATGATTACTTGTAATCTAGAATTTATTAATAGTACATTTAGCTAATAATTACATTATAACCATAGAGGACAACTATAGAAAAAGTATATAACTAGTTACTTATACAATATTAGTTATTGTTTAATTTAAGTAGTTTATCTGAAGGTTCTATACTAGCTGCCATATCTGAATCTGTTTGTAAGTTCTCTATTTAAACACTTTAGTTCCTGTATTCACAAATCTACTTACATCTCCTAATGATTCTAGTTGATACTATTAAAAATATGCTATAACTACTAAGTCTTTAAAGCAGTTTACTTATAAAAAATTTTTATCCTTATACTAAACCTTTTAGAACTTTTATATTTTATTTTTATAATTGATTTAATAATACTATAGCTAAAACCAACACTTGCATTTAGAATATATTATTAAACTGCAATGTTCTTGTAAAATTCACCCTAATTTTAGCACTTACTTTACAACTTATTCCTACTACTTTGGTATTTAATTCAAGTTCTACTAAACTCCTAGTCTAAATAACCTAAAAATGTAGATACAACTATAACCTTTTTCTTTATTATTTTTTTAAGAATTTCAGCAGTCTGACTAGTTACAATAGCCCTTTCTTAAAGACTGACTTGTTTTCATCTGACTTTACAAATTATAATTTTGTTTCATAAGTCTAGTCTTTATAGTAGCACTGTCAAAAGTTCATTATCTATATTTATTTAAATATATTTAATTATAATTAATTAAAAAATAAATTATTTTAAATAAAATAATTTATCTATATAATTTTTTTTATAATTATATTTATTTATAATTATATTAATTAATTTATAAATATATATCATTGTAAATATATATTTTTTAAAATATAATTATAATTATAAAACAATTTAATTATATATAGTTAAGTCAATAAAAATTAAATAAAATTTTAAATAAAAATAATAATAAATCTTAATAAAATTAATAATTTTTTAAATAAATTATAGAATTTATTTTATTAAATTTAATTAAAATTTAATTAAATTATTTTTTATCTAAAATTTTAAAAAATTATATTAAAAAAATTTACTTAATTTTTATTAACTTAATTTTATATAAAAAAATTTTATTAATATCTACTTTTTTAAATATTAAACTATATATTTTTTTTAATATTAAGATGAGTTTTTACTCATATTTTTATTAATAATTTTAAATATATAATTTAGTACAAAAGTGTTAAAATAAGCTAAAATTTTATAAAAAATAAAATTTTAATAATTATATAAAAAAATTATAATTATTTTAATTATTTTTAATTTTTACCTTTAAAACATATTTTTTATCTTTTACTAATTTTATTATATTTTTCTAATTTTATTATATTTTTTTAATTTTATTATCTTTTATTAATTTTGCCAATTTTATTTAATTTTGTCAGTTTTGTCAATTTTACTAGTTTTGCCAGTTTTGTCAATTTTACTAGTTTTGCCAGTTTTGCCATTTTGTCATTTTAAATTTTTTTTTAACAAAAGTCAAAACTAGTTTTGACTTTTTCCTATAGTAAAACCTCTAGATTTTGCCTAACAATACTAGTAAGAACATTAGGCATTGAGGGTTTTCTGAAATTTAAGACCTGTTAGGAGATAGTCCTGAGGTTCTGTTAGATAGAAGTGGCCTGTCGGGATGACAGTCGCTTAGAAATTTTGAATTGGAAGTGGCCTGCTGAGACGGCAGTCACGGAAGTAGCTTTATTGTGCTTAGCATAGGTTATAGATTTATTTGAACAGGGTTAGGGTTTTTTGCCCTGTATGTTAGACAGTGGCATTGGAAATATAATCCTCGTAGACTCGGTCGATACTCTTGAGTTTCTGCACTGTGGGTTTGTATAGCACGAAGCGGATGGGACAGAATACCCATGATTGTATTTCGTAGTTTTTTCTTTGTTAAAACCCCTCGATGAGGGACAAAAAAGAATAAACCCAACAATGGTAAAATTAGCCCAGGAACAATTTTCACTTAATGAGCAGTGTTACGTAATAAATTAAACTATATGTAAATCATTTAAATTATGTAATAATAATATAGATACTTTATTAAGCTTTGCACCGATTACGACATTTTTCAAGCTAAAAATCGATGATCATATTTTTGCATAATCGCTAATTTAAGTCTAATAAAAAGACTATATAAGGAGGGTCAATAATGACTTTATGGAAGGATCCTCTTTTTTGAGAACAATTGTATGATCGTACAAATTCCTTTGGTAACGATCATAGTATTAAAAAAAGAACTCTTTTGCTCATTTTACATATTTGGGTTTAGTTTTTCTTGTGATACAAATAAGACTAGTCTACTAACCGATATACTTTCGCCACTTTGACTAATAATCTGTTCATATTTTAATGCTAACGACACTGTGCTAAATTGAAATCAAGAGGAAAGCTTTCCCAAGTCGTTACAGCGACTGTGATTTCATTAGTAAAATTTTGAGTAATTCTAGCCAAATTCTTTGATCGTCTCTCTTAGCCAATCCAACCGAGAATCTACCGGAACAATTTTGTTGTGCTATGTTTCACCAGTTTGTCAGTTTCACTAGTTTCACCAGGTTTCGCCAGTTTCGCCATTTCGTTTTTTGATTTTTTTTTTGCCGAAAGTCGAAACTAGGTTTCTCCTAACAAATGTAGTTGTAGGATTATTGAAATATAGAATAACCGCGTGTGATGCACCTGAAAGCAAGAGGCGTCATGTACGAGAAAAAATTACCAAAAAACATCAGTTAGATCGTTAGCCGTATTTTAAATTGTATTAATGAAGCAATCAAACCTAAATGGTATCTTTATTTGGCTCAATCATCATCTGAGATTCATCAATATCGCCATCCGAGAATCATTCAAGATCGTTATCCCGAGAATATTAATTCAGTTAATGGGTAAAGTCGATAATAATAACCAATGAATTATAAAAACAGGTATGTGTAGAATGCGGAGTCTTTGGTTCATGAAATGTTAGGTCGGATTAAATCTTTTTCTACGTGTCTATTTCAAAGCTAAGTAAAGATGATATTGATTATGTAATACAGTAATAGCCAAAGCTTTGAAGGCTAATCTGTAATTGGTTAAATTGACAAGGCATCCAATAAAGTTCAGAATACGTATGCATATATGCGAGTTGAATCTTATAGATTAATTACTGCGTCATATTTACATTACTGTGACCCACCAGTCACACGAAATGAAAAGACTTATACTACGTCATATTTATGCTGCTGTGATCCAGCGGTGATCCCACATATTGGTTCGGCGATCAAGATAACTCCGATGATCGATATATACATTGGGTATACGTACGTATTTAGTGATGGGCAAATCGCAGTTTTTTAAAAATCCCGCGCGGGATTCCGTGGGAATTCCGCGCGGGATCTGCGGAATATATATAAAGATTATCACTAGAAATATAATTTCTTGTTAAAATAATGTATTTTAAATAATCATACATTTAGCACGCCCTTATTTATAATCTGGGTCTGGTCCAAGTTGTTCAAAATGATGCCAAATTGGTTTATTAACACCCATGTTATAATACCGTTGTTTAAAGAATGACTTAATAATGGATATATATTTATTATAACAAGAAATAGTAAGTAAGAACTATCAATGCCAAAAAATATTTAAAACAAGATATATGCATAAATATCGATATATAGAATGATAAACAAATAAAAAGTTCTCATTAATTTTATGTATGGCCATTAATGTTAATGCAGGCCAGATGATATGCTAATGCATGCCAAATAAGCTCATTAAAAATCCCACGCGGGATCAAAAAAAATACCGCGCGTGGTCCATCATTAGGTATATTAGAAAAATAAAAATTACATGAATAACAATGTCTAAAGTGCATATTTCCACTGATATGACCATTGAAAACAGACATATTTTATTAAGAGCTGAATATTTACATGAAATGGAACGTTGTTTATGTATCGTGCTGGTAACAATCTAAGAGACCGCGATTTTCATCAAACGCTCTATGGAGAACACCCATATGAGTGCTGCAGAATGAAAACCTGGAAGTGAATATTAAGTTTTCATTGTATCGATGATCTGTATTTGACTTTTTTATCTCCACCAGAATCTAAAATCTAGAATCCTGGTGGAGACGAAAAAAAATCAAACACAAGTCATCAATACCAATACGCAATATCATAATGTTTCAAGGGGTTAAGTTCGCGACAATGAAACTTAAATATTCACCATTCTGCAGCACGCATATAATCTAAAATAGTAACTAATCTCCTATAATAAATCTCAGAACGAAATTTAATGAAATATTTTCATGCGCACGTATGTTTACGTATATACGTATCAACTATTTCTCGGGTATAGCATCACTACCTTTGGAACTTCCAAGTCAATCGTTTCCTTGGAGTTGCAGACTGATGGTCCCACCTGTTAAAGTAGAAAGCAATGTTATATATCACCGTTTTTACACACTTCCGAAATGAAGTATTTAATTAGTTAAGAGAAGCAGATAAAAAGAATAAAAAAGGTAAAGTAATGAAAAGAACAAGAAGGTATAAATAAGACCAGACTGTCTTATCAATTTCTCAAAAATCTCTGTTATCCTTATAAATCAACAACTTTTATTTCTATACCAATAATCTCTTCAAACAGAAACCGTCTGTTCAAAAAATAGCAATAATGAAATTCGTGATCACTATCTTTATTCTTTTGGTGTCCATTACCGTCCTTGTTCAAACATCTCCTGTGGAAAAAAGAGGTTAATATCTTGATTATTTTATTTACTAAAGTGTTTATTGCACTTGACTAATCTCAAAGAAAAAAAATCATTAAACACATTAACTTATTTGCATCTGTTGCTCTCATTAAAGAGTCAGAACTTGTTCTACGAGGAGATGAGTATTCGAAATTCATAAAGGAATATGATCATGCTATGTCAACTTTGCAAACTTCTCTAAAGGCAATGGATAAAAGAATGGATATATTTCATCAAAGAGTAATAAAATTTACTGCAATCGTACTCGACGATGCGAATATAAAAAGGGCTACTCCGGATACTCCTCCTGTATATTTTTTAAACTTCGTAAATACTCATAAGAAGCTTATGAATGACATTACTTGTGCTATTGATGCTGTGGATAAGGCTACATCCGATTTTAAGAAATCTCATGATCATTAGACATGAATTTTTTTCTAACTTATAATGTACAATGTACTTCATATTTTTATATATATATAACGTATAATGTACTATGTACTTCACATTTTTTTTACATTTTCTATCTTCGTATAAATAATAAATAATTTAATTTTCTTTGTTAATTAAACCTTACCGTTTAAAAATAAAGATTTTCCCATGTAGTTATATTGATCACACTGCAATCACGGTTCATCACGGGCTACATCATTGCATGGTTGATTGCGTATACATAATAATCGCGCTTTTTTTGCATATACATATATATATATTTCGGTATTTTATTACATTGTATGTGCATATATGATCGATATTATTTTGTATAACTTCGATCGTGACGAATCTTCACGGTTTTTTATCATGTGATTATATATATATATAGTGCACTTTCTACGAAATATAAGCTAATTTTGAATATATCCATATCTTATATAAACAATATTAAACACACAATCCAAAAATGATTTGCTTGAAGAACAGAATTCTAAGCTTGAAGCTGAGATTTCCAAGCTTAGGAAGGAGTATGCTAGGTCAAGCTCAAAAATACAAAATCAAAACAGGATAAAGATAGTGAGGTCAGATTTGCGAATCTAAAGCAGAGTGATAAAGAAAAAACTGATCTCATTGCTAGACTGAAATGTGATATTCACTAATTAAACAGGCTTCAGTAATTTTGTAATCATTTATTTCATCATTAATTAAAAATCATTCTGATAATACGCAAACTGATACCTTAAAATGATGCAAAATTATATTTGATATCATGTTTAGTTATTCTGTGACTGCCTCTGGTAATTCTAATATGTGTTAGAAGTTTTCAATTCAATGTTCCACATCATCTATTTGTGCAAAAATTAAAATTTTAAAAGATAGAAAAGTTGATGATTTCTTGGATTTGAAAAATAAAAAAGGAAGATAAAAGAGAAGAATAAGAAGAAGAAACTTTATGTTCAAGACTTATCTATATTTAATATATTTAAATTATTATATAATTTTGAAAATCTTAAGGATTCTTCACAATCTAAATTATGTGATTTCAAAACACATTTATAAGACTATAATCAGAATTCAGAATCATTTATATCTAATAATTCTAACATTTCTAATATTAGAGATCTTATTGAATCTGAATATAATTAAGTTATTACTAAATTAGATAAAAATTTAATTACCAAATAGGAATTAAAATAACAGCTATCAATACTTATTTCTAATTCTATAACTTCAAATTGAACTTTAAAAGATTAACTTTGAGATCAAAATTCATTTTTATAAAATATAATTTACATGTTCAAAAAAGTAATAAAGTTTAATTAAAAAGCAATTTTATATTAGTATTATTTTATAAAAAAGATGACAAAATAATTGATGAGTTTGTGTTGATAGAATTAAAAAAAAATTACTTCATTTATAGCATATTAAAAAATCAAACAGCTTTTATCTAATATAACTAATATGAACTTATATCAAAAAATTTTTAAATCTAAAAAGTTATATAAATTATTTAATATATTATAAATAGAAAAAATTAAACTAGTTTCTTATAATACAAATGTTATTTTAAGTTTTAGTTACCAACAAATTCAAAATATTATAGCTTATATAACTTTAAAAATAAGTATTTTAGTTACTAAAAATTAAGATAAATAATATTTAAATTCTTTATAATGATTATTTAAACCAAATTAGTACTAAACAGTTCTGAAAAAATAAGTTTCTAAGTGAACAGCATCTTTAATTTTATTTTATTTTTTTTTTTAAGTTAAAGTTCCTATCTTGGGAGTTGTGATGTTTTTATTCAAGTATATTAGGACACGGCATGCCACCAAGGGCTCACCTTACATTGG